TATAATTATAAAACTGAAAATTCTTACATTGTCTGCAGTAAAAAAATATGGTAAAATATAGTACAGTCTTTAGTGAAAACAGAGTAAAGATATGTCAGTTAAGCTGTGGTGTAAAAACACTGAAGCTTGCGGAATTAATTTAAAAAGCACATTTTTTTCTTCTTCTTTCCATCCATCCTGTGATCTTTGCAGTCGGAGTCCATGTAGGGACGTGACTGTCTTTATTGACATTACACTCCAATGTGATTGGAGCCCTACCGTGGTGATTGACAGGAGTGTCTCTTCCAGCGGTGGGCTTGACCACCGGGAGTTGAACGCGTGAAGACCGTGGTATTTGATAGCTGCGTTCCAGGCGATTATTCAGCTACGGAGGGAGGATATTACGAATGGTAATAACACCGGCAGGAAGCTGTGCTTTATATGAAAGCTCTCACTCCTCTCCTGGGTCCCTTAAGAGGCCTTTGTGTGTAAGAGCTGACAAAGGAAGAGGGGGGAGAAACCCTTGGGCTTTTCCATTCAGACCGAAAATGGCCGACCCTCTGTCCTTCACATCTGCAATGCATCTAAACAAGGAGGCATAAACCTGAAGCTTCAGAAGGGAGGAAAATCTGAGTTTACAGCCACGTTAGGCTATTGTAGACAGTGTAGCATGACATAACTGGCTCATTTCGCTCTTTAAATTACCTCGTGTTACAATTCTATCAGTGTAAACACCCCCAAAAAATAAATAACAACTTTCTTTTATGGAAATCATTCATGAAAGTGCTTAGCCCATCCCTTCTGCCCATTAAAAACCAGGCCTTGCATAATTCAAATTTTCTCCATTATTTAATCCGCTCACCGCAAAGGCAAGGCCATTAAAATCTCACTTGCTCCTATGAAACCAGAAGGAAATCTCAAATTTGCTGCTTTCCCTAATAAATAAAAATAACAGAGTCCTTGACATGGAGAAATTACCGATATAAGGAAGCAGACTCAGACATTTTGTGCTGAAGGCAGTGAGGAGTTTTCTCATAGCTTCTTGGCGTGTAATCTAACTGGGAATGCTGGAAAGCTCATTCCCCTGTCTAATGTAGAATAGAGGAAAAATTACAGTTCAGGGGGGCGTACGTACACAGGAGAAGATGATTGGTTCTATGAAATTGCCATTGGTCATGTTTGGGATTTTTAGGAAGTATTTTGCTTGTCATTGTACAAGATCTGGGTAGCTACATGTTAATAGGACTTAAAAGCAAACAGAAATGTTTACGGAATTCAATTTACACATCATGGGATATTCCTTTCATCCATCTATCTTCCCACCACTTATCCTGGTCCCGGTCTCAGGGACCAGTGGCATGTTACATAATCTGTATCTCCAGCTCTGTGTCACCACATACAGCATGAGAATGGGGAAACTTTTTCATGCAGTGGAAAGAGGAAAGGGATAGTCTTGCCATTACAAATCACTGTGCATTGTTCTGGCGCAGTGTTTCCTAATCTGGTCCTTAGGGGACCCACAGACCGTCCACATTTTTGCTCCAACCCAAACCCTACTGGGAGCTGGGAGGGAGTAAAAACATGGACCATCTGTGGGTCCGTGAGGACTGGTCTGGGAAACACTGGTCTGGCCATATCAGACCCAGAGTAAGTAAATAAATAAATTGTGCTTGAAAAAAATTGGATTGTTGGACATTTAAAGAAGTACCTGAAATAATGAGATAAAAAAACGGAAGAAAAAAACAAATGTGTCTTAAGTGGATGTGGTAATACTTAAAGCTGTCATCTGAAATGCATGATAGATGCCTTCATAATGCATTATAATGGTCAGTATAAGAATTAATAAAGCATTACAGCATCTTCTATTGACAGTTATAAGGCATTATAGTGTTGATTGTAATACTTCATAAGCTCCAATGGAGCTCTCCTGTATAATGCACTATAGATACTTTTATAACGTATTATTATTTTCGGTATAAGCATTGAGGATGCTATGTACTGCACTATGAACTTATCTATAGTGCATTATAGATAAGAGATTCATATAGCATTCATAATGCATAATACACATCGCTATAATGTATTATGGGTTTTTATTAAATGTTCCTAATCATGTTTATAATGCTTTATGAATGCATAATAATGAATGTGTTCTTATAGATAGACATGCCATTCATAAAAAGTGTTATGTTTTAGAAGAACCCGCCAAGTTAAACTGACTTTGTCGACTGAAACCAAACAACTAACCCTCTAAAGCAGATGTTGCCCCCTCGAGGTGGGATTATACCTGGGACAGAAAGGACCTGAAACAGAACAGCCCAGCTTCTGCTGATTCATGCAGCGGGGAGGGTGATAGCAGACAAAGGGATGCCATTTAGCAGATGTGCAGGTCGGTAGCTTGCCTCCCCACAATCCCCTGCTTCTGCTGGGCGCCACAATAGCGGCCATTCCGACAGAGACGTGACGGCGCGGACGTGACCCGCCAATCAGCTGCACACAATGCTGGATGCCGGCGTGGTATTTACCTCGCCGCCCTTCAAAGCAGCTTCTCCAAATCGGCATGGTGACAGTTCTCCCAGCAAGCAGAAACGGGGGTTAAGGTCAACGACGCGGGGATTACAGAATGCGGTGGCCTTTTCGGCCAGCGCTTGGCAGCGGTCCCCTCCAGCTAGCGGACCTCACCGCGGGCCAGGAGCACAGACCCGCTAGTCGCGGCCACTTCTCCTAGCCTCCGCAGACGGGTTTCTGGATGCAGAGGCCAGCATTCAGGGATTATCACAGCCACCTGCTGATGGTGATATTGGGAGGCGTCATGTGAGCAAAATGTCAATGCTCACGGTGACGACGGCCGAGGAGAAAGCCGGCCTTTCTCTGCCAGCGAGAGGTGTCTTGCCATAAACATACCCTCACTGCCCCCCTCCCCGCCCCCACTAGTCTGGAAACAAGCCTGGATGCTATGGATTTAGACGTATGGCAGAGTTCTGGTCAGGCCATGACGCCGGGATCGGCGTATTTAGACTTCAAAGTGTGTCTTTGGCCCGATACCATTGTGGGCCGGCCGCTCGTCTTTTAACTGGCTGCCATAGGACTCGGGACTTGCATTTTAAAGAAGTGCTTCCCGCTAAGGTCTTGTGGCGGCCCCCCTCCCCCCCCCATCCCTCGAAAGTGCCTTGCTCTAATGCGGTGATCAATAACGCAGGCAACCGGCACAAACCATGATACTGTAATTACCAGCGCCGATCGATATCCGCTGCTCTCGCTGCAGCTCCATGCCGCACGCATATCCCAGTCGCCGCACTGTTCCCCTGCGGAGAAGGAGTGTTTGCCACTAACATCTCTAGTCGCCCTTTGATGGATGGATGAAAAATTTGAGAAAGCGCTATTCAGATATAATATGAGGCATGGTGGCCTCACACCCCCAGAGTCGTGGGTTCTGCTCCTGCCCCCGCCTCTGCGTGTGAGTGAAGTTTGTGTGGGTTTCCTGCAGCGTCTTCCCATGAAAGAAATGCGGTCCGGTGATTCGGTAACTCTGAAGTGCCCTGATTATGTGCGTGTTTGCCCTGCGATGGACTGGTACCCAACCTGCCCTCCCCATGGGGTTGCCACAGATTCCCCGTTCTTCCTGTGATCGGCTCCAAGATCCTGTACTGGATAACCAGTAATGGAAAATGAATTCTCCTAAACCTTTGGCTGAACCGCCACTGTCAGACTTGCTTGGAAACCAAATAATCCTGTAGCACTGGTTCCGAGCTCTAATCTGTCTTAATAAAAACCTAATAAAGCGCCCTTAGGCTGATGACTCTGCCAAATTACGTAACGGGGGAGTCTGATGTTAGCGACACAGGAGCAGCCCAGCGACGTTATTGATGGGGGTAGCGTTCGACACCAGATGAAGTATTTTGTGTCATAATACTAGCATAGTGACATGAGGAACTATCTAATTAGTGGCTAATTAAGGACTCAGAACGCAATAAAAGCAACCTCCCTTAATGATGCTTGTTATTCAAATGAGGATTTTAACTGTCAGCTGTGGGAATGGCAATATAACCCCCCCCCCCCGCATACTCACCCCGCTGAAGAAAATTCATTCAGTGCCTTTTTTTCTGTAGTGTTTCTGTGTTGGGGATGGGAGGATGGGGGCCGCGAGATGACTGATGGCGGAAAGGAGAGTTCGCAGTGGGATTCATTCCAGGAGGCAGTCGCTGAGCGCCTCAGCCGCTCGCTGACAGCACCGCCGTTCGCACACCGCCGGCGACACAATCACAGGGCTCCGCCCACGCTCCCGCCGCTAAACGCTACGCTGCAAAGTGTTAGCGCGGAAAACACTCATTACTCCCATGCAGCCTTTAAAATGTAGACAAGCAAGGCAGCAGCCTGCCATTCTTCAGGAGAGGGACGCTAGAAGCGTATTGCTTTGGTTATGATTGGCATGACACTGCAGTTAATGTGTCTGATTTCTAATAATGATCATTCAAGGGTGGCTCTGAGAGTCGCACTGTTGCCCCACATTGGCCAGGAATCTCGCACTCTGATTTAATCTCTGATTATGATGGTTTTTCGCAGGCACAGTGCAAAGGAACACAGTTAGGCCAGCGGTCTAATAGCTCAACCGCAAGCTACTATCAGCCGACCGGGAGTCAACTTTTACCGTGGTTAGCCCACAGCGCCTCCTGTCAGTAACTTTAATCCTCACGCCCCAGATGCATTTGTAGAAGTAGTTGTCAGCGTGAAACATATTGGAGACCCCTAGGTTAGACAAACTAATACCTCTAAATTGCCCATACCACGTGCAAGGAACTGACATCCCCACCCAGGGTATCCCTTCCCAGAGTGCAGTGCATTCTGGGATAGGCTCCAGGCTCACCACAGCCGTGGAGTGGATGAGCTGTTATGGAAGATAGATGGACATTTTTTTTTTCCCTAGGAAATAAGAGCTAAGGCTCAGGCAAAAGACAATAATGTTTGCAGATGCTTTCCTCATAGATTTTAATGAAATACCAAAGCACAATATATCCAACCACTTTAATTCCTTATTAGTGCCAACAGTTGGTATAAAACTCATCTCAAAACAACACATCTAAACATATTTCATATTAATGTGAATGGTAATGAATAATTAATCATACCTTGTAATTGATCTGATAATACAATTTAACTGCTCGTAAATCCACAGTGCTGCACTCTTTTATGAAGACTTGGCATATCTACGCGTTTCCTGCTACATATTTAATATTTGTTTAACGGAACTGTTTTCTTATTATCGTGATTCATTAACAGTCCAGAAACATTAGTACAGTGGATAAATACACAAAGAATACAAGCACAGCAGGTTGCTGGAAACACCTAGAATATTACAGCTTAGTAATCAGCGTCTGGTTCCTCCTATTTGGCTGTCGGCTACAAAGAAACTTCAGAGCTCCCAAAGGTCGTTGCTGTCTTTGCTTTTAGCTGTTGCTTTTTTTTTATATAGCATCAGAAATCCCTGTGTCCTCAAGAACTCGTTACCAGTGTCCCTGTTTCGCTTTGGTTACGTGGGACCGGGCCCCTGAAAATGGCAGACACAGATGCGGTCCCAGAACAGAGCAGACCAATCATCAGAGATAGGGCTGGGAGCCAGAGGCTAAACCTGATTTGCTCTCTGATGTGGCCCTTTTGTTGTAGCCCGGCGCTCATTTGCAGGACCCGGTCCCCGCAGCACGAGGAAGGGGCTCCCAGGCCACTGACAGTTTAATGGACTTGCACTCCAGTGTCCCAGTGAGCAGGGATTGCAGTTTTGTTCCTGAAGACAACAGTTGAAGGACAATCACACTACCTGCCTTATGTCTTTTGTGAGATGGTCATTTGTGCTGTAAGAAATAATGGATGAGAAGGCAAATAAAAAACCTACAAAAACTACATTTCACACGTTAATAAACACATCACGATTGTCCAGGAATTGTTGCAATCAACAACTGTAGCTTCTTAGGAACTCTCTGTGCAGATTCTCGCAGAGGACATTTCACAACTATTGTATCATGCCTATTCGTTATGGATTTTCAAGTCATTATTTTTTTTTAATGAAAACAACAGTGTCTCGGTGGGGAATAGTCGATTTCTTTTATCTGGCTTTCCTGTTTAATTCCCAGTAATAAGCAGTCATATTTGATAATTGCAGTACATCGCGGACATATGTGTTTTAGTTAGAATGGGATTGATTTCTAAAGTCATTCACATGTCACAAAGGCATTGGTCAGGGTCCAGTAGATCTTAAAAGATATGCATTTCTATGGCTTTGATTCTGGTAGAGAGAGGTGCATTGTGGGTCATTCTTTATCAGCCAGGCCGTGCAGCATTGCATGGATCATTGAAGCTACTGTGCCTCAGGAAATTCTATGACTTTGTGATAATGATTTTGAAAAGGACAAAAAAAAATCTTTGTCTGAGCAGTTATTTTTTTCAGTCCAGAAATCTAAGCGGGAACATTTAGGACATTTTTGCTGTGGGGCACCCCTCAATGAAGCTGAAATAGACGCTAACATCATAATCGTCTACTATGTACCCAACAGCAAATAATTTGCCTAGTTGGTAGGTTTGTACACAAGAAAGCTTACAGTATGACCATCAAAATCATTTCTGTTACAGTACGACTTGCTTTAGTATTTGTCCGAACGAAGAGTGCTAATGCCGAACACTGAAATGACTACATTTTGCTTTGAGGCCACCTGATATTTCAGTTAAAACATGGGCTCCCACATGACATCTAGTTACAATCTTTACTGTAAAAACAAGAAAGGTAAACAAAACCTAACAGCACAGCGAAAATCAAACTAAAAAACGGTGTCTTCACGTTGCCACCTGGGACAGCGAAAGTAGTTCAGCTATCACTGGGATTGTTAGCCGCTGTCGATGCCTCTCAAAGGAAGACAATGGATCTTGTTTATAACTTTTCATGCCGAATGTAAATTCTCCTTCAGCGCTGCCGAGTTTACAACGTTTCGTTTTCGCCGCAAACGCATCGGGAAGACGGAGTCCCAGAATAGCTCCATCGCAAGTGCGCTCCGCCGCGAAATTTCTGACGCCAAAATTTTTATCTAAGGATGACAGATCGTCGAGACGGCAAAAAATAATCACACCAAGGAACGAAAGATCCCTGCTCTGTTTAAAAAATAATAAAATAAAAATAAAAACCAGAATTCTGATGTACTTTGAAGGAGTAAGGCAAAGCTAGCAAGTGAGCACGAGTTGACTTCCTGTGGACTACTTTGTAGATTTTTTTTCTTTTTCCAGTCTGTTTTTGTTGAAGTGTAGGCCTTGCAGAAACACTGCTGTGCACCACATACCGCTGCGTAAATGCTCTAATTGGGATGCGATATTTCCAACAGCAGCACAAGATTGTTAATGTAAAGACATAAAATGCTAAAACCGATTAGCATGCCAGCCAGCGGAACTTTCCTGCAACCCTGCAACCTGAACTCTGGGCTAAAATGTTCCGGTTCAAATGCTAAATCACCACTGAGTGTGTTGAATGCTGTCCTTACAAATGCAACCAAAAAAAAATAATAATAATCAATGTTTCATATAAAGGTGTCAGCTAAGAAATGCAAATAAGGGAATTATGAATAAACCAATTTTGCATATTGAATGTCACTTTAGAAGTATCACCTTAGCTCACGGATATCACAGCCCTTTTATTTCAGCTAAAAGCCTACTACAAACACTCAAGAAAACGAGAATTATAACGAACAAAAACGGCACGTCAGTATGGGTGGGGATGTTCTAAGATGTTTATCCTGGTAATAAAATTCAGTTTTAAGGAAATGATTGTAACTCTGACGGTGGACATTTATATCAGACTTGAAGATAACAGTAATTAAGCTATTTCCTTTTATATTACACACTGTCAGTAGTTCAGTCCCTTATCAGCATGAACACTAAGTATGTGTGAGGGACAGAAGTGGGAATGGAGTGATAATAGGGAGATCATTTTTCATTATAAATAAATATCCCTGGCCAATATTATTTGGATGTAACACAATGTCTTCCTGAGGTCTGACATCCACTTCACAATAAAATGGACGTGAAAATCAAAACTCCAGGGAGTTTGTTTTTAATGCATGTTCCCCCTACAGTGTTGGTAATGTGAAGCCCAGTTTTGGTTCTTGTGCGATTGGTTTACTTCTCTAACGGTGAGTATTTACAACCAGCACTATCCAATAGAAGCACTGTCATTTTAGAAGTCCAAGTCTCTGGCTCCACCCCCACAACTGCAGTCATTTATGGTAATAGGCTTGATTTATTATTGTTATTATTATTGCTGATGTTATAATAAGTAGTAGTAGTAATCGTAATAATACTAGTATTTTGGAAGCTTGTCGAGTTTGGATTGGGAAATCCAAAACTTCAGTTCTGCATACAGTCAGTCAGTGGAATAATTCAGCAAGGAATAAGTTTATACTTTCAAAAGTTTCCACTTTTTTTCCACAGTTTTCAAAGTTCCTCTTTCTCGTTCTCCGCTGTCACGGCACTCTTGAAATCTGACAGAAGCATATTAATTCCACTGCATTATGTACTTTTAATCAAAAAACATTATTGCATGTCCAAAATCAAATGGCTGCCAGTTGAAATTCAAGGTGTCTGAAAGTAAAAACAAAGAAAAAGAAGAAAACTGAACACATTCAAAGATGATAATTACATTTGTTGTGCAAGTATTAAAATCTGTTAAAACCATCAGAGCTGTAGCTCTGATGCTATAGCAGGGACAGAAAATGACCTTAAATTAAACCCAACTTTGTCCCTTTTGAACTAAATGACAGAAAATGAACAGATGTATGACAGAGGGGACAAATGAATTCAGCTTCAAAAGCTTAAGGGATTACACTGCAGCTTCACTGCCGAACGAGGCTGACACCAATCAACCAATCAAAGTGTAAATGCAGCACATTTTCACAATCAGCCAAATCCTGCTGTGAACTTGGAGGTTATGTATGGGTACAATTCTACACGGATAGAAGACTGTGTTACAGTAAGCAACATGTTCAATGTAAGAAAATAATACGAAAAAAAACCTAGCTGATACACGGCGACAAGTCCGTCCTTTGTTCGTGGCATCTGAATCAATATTTTTTCTGTTATTTTGACTTCGTCGAAAAGCATTTCTATAAATATCAAAGCTTCTGGAAGATTCTTGGTGCCCAGTCCATTATCCTATTCCCTTGAAAGGCATGTATAGAAAGCCTGGCATTTTTCAAACTGTGACATGAGCTCCCGTGAGGATATTCTGTGCTTTGCATTCTGAGTATTCTGTCTCAGGTGCTTCCGCACTAAAGAATTTATAATGTGTTTCACGTCTAAAAGATATCCCACTTTTTCATTAATGCTATGAAGATGTCGCTCATAAACAAAATCCACTTTGTACTAAATTGACTGTAATTGCTACCGAGTGACACTCTTAAGTACCCCACCCCACCCCACCAGCCGTAAAGAGTGAATTTTAAGAGAGTCAGGATGGCTATTTTGGCTCCTGAGACACTGTTAGCACTCCGGATTTCATGAAGACGGCCTGACAGCCGTTCATTCATCGGCGAGGCTTTACACCGAAACCTTTTGGCTTTTGAAATCTAGCCCTCTTCGTACCCTAACGATCTCTTGTCGAAAGTCGCCTCCCTGCCCCTCTTTAGCTGTGACGGTGATAAATGGACGCGATCACATTGCCAACCGACACCTTGCCGGTCACGCTCATTTTTCTCTCTCTCTGTACAACTACTTATTCTGCTTTTTCTCACCACACCCTAAACCCCAACTCTGCGGGTCATCTTGTAAGTGCTGTCAAGTGTCATTTTGCTGCATCTCAAAATGGAAAAGCTGCCTCATGTCTAGTAAGAGAATCCCCCTGTCCCCGGCCAGTGTTGGGGAGTAACTAGCTATGGCGTAAGGGTGTTACGTGATGAAATTACAGAATACTTGTAACTGTACAGTTGTTACAGTTGCTGAGACAAAATACGTAATTAAATTAATGTTACTAATCAAAATATTGGTGATTCAAAAGGGGTTACATCTGAAAAAAATATTTTCAGTAGAAAAAGAATGTAGAATATAATGTAGAATGTAGAATATAACACATTCTGTTGCTTTGCATCTTGTCACCGTGCAGAAATGCCTTCTTTCGCATATTTGCAGACAGCACGGGTCAGCAAAGCCATTGGTATTTCCCAGCTTTGTTGCCCGGTTTAAAATATTTGTTAGAAAAGTAATGAAAAAGTAATCAAATGGAGTAAAGTTACATTACTTTGAAGAAGTAATCAAAATAGTTATATTACTTATTACATTTTTAACTAGTATTCTATAACCTATTTCATTTCAAAGGTAACCTTCCCAACACTGTCGAAGAGGGACATGGTATGGGAAAATAATTCCTTTCTATTATAGTTTATAAAAAAAATCCATTTAAACAGCTGAATGGCTGGCATATTGGCTCACTGAGAAGCACAATTTTCTTGCGAATCCAGGACTGTGGGTTTATCTGTGGTCTCTGGCTCGGCGTAGAGGTGTGCATGTTCTCCCCATGGTCGTGTGGGTTAAATTGCCCTTACGGTTTGTGTGCCGTGTGAGGAATTGCCGTCCCACACACGGTGTCCCCTCCCTTGTACCCAATGCATCCTGGGATAGGTTCACCGTGACCTGTGTAATTCGAAAGTGGTTCTAGCGGCGGATGAGGAAATTCATGGTGTGCGATTTGCACAAGGGTCCAACAAAAAAAAGTAATTCCAGGGACAAATTATTGCTTAAAATCCTAATGCCTTTAAGCCCTAATACTGCCTCAGTATTTGTTTTTACTTTTGCCAGCTTTTCCGAAGATGATTTAATGACT